AAAACCCCAACCATCACCCAAGTCAGAAAAGAAGCACCATTAAAGCCTTGGCAGACCGTGCAAAAAGAATCTACGAACCCCACCTCCTTCAAGATCAGTGGTTCTCAACCTTCCTAATGCCGTGACCCCTTAATATAGTCCCTCATTTTGTGGTGACCCCCAACCATAACATTGTTTTTGTTGCTACTTCATAACAGTCATTTTACTACCGTTATAAATCATAATGTAAATATCTGATATGCAGGATGTATTTTCATTCATTGTACTAAACTGGGCACAAATACCCAATGCAACCACATGTAAATGCTAGTGGGGTTGGGGGAGGATTGATTTTGTAATTTGGGAGTTGTAGTTGCTGGGATTTATAGTTCACTTATAATCAAAGAGCATTCTGAACTCCACCAGCGATGGATTTGAACCTAATTTGCCACACAGAACTCCCATGACCAATGGAAAACACTGGAAGGGTTTGGTGGGTATTGACCTTGAGTTTGGGAGTTGTAGTTCACCTATATCCAACGAGCACTGTGGACTCACGCAATGGTAGATCTGGACAAAACTTGGCACAAATACTCAATATGCGCAAATGTGAACACTGGTGGAGCCTAGGGAAAATAGACCTTGACTTTTGGGAGTTGTAGTTGCTAGGATTTATAGTTCATTACAATCAAAGAACATTCTGAACTCCATCAACGACAGAATTGCTCAAACTTCCCACATGGAATCCCCATGATCATCAGAAAATACTGTGTTTTCTGATGGTCTTTGGTGACCCCTCTGATACCCCTTAGCGACCCCCTCAGGGGTTCCGACCCCCAGGTTGAGAAACACTGTTCAAGATGAACTGAACCACCTCAACTGGGCTCTACAGGCCAATGGATACTCCACCTCAGACATCAGAAGAGCTGCAAGACCAAGAACAAGCCATGAGAATCAAGACAAAGATCCACCCAGAGGAAAAGTGTTCTTGCCATACATCAAGGGAACCACTGACCGCATAGGGAAGCTGATGAGGAAACACAACACACTAACCACCTACAGACCCACCAAGAAAATCCAACAAATGCTACTTCAGCAAAGGACAAGAGGGATCCTCTCACTTCTGCAGGAGTCTACCGTGTACCATGCAGCTGTGGACAAGCCTACATAGGGACCACCAAACGCAGCAGCCCAAACACGAATCAAGGAACATGAAAGGCACTGCAGACTACTTCAACCAGAGAAGTCAGCCATAGCAGAGCACCTGATGAACCAACCTGGACACAGAATATTATTGAGAACACAGAAATGCTGGACCACTCTCACAACCACATGTCAGACTACACAGAGAAGCCATTGAAATACACAAGCATGTGGACAATTTCAACAGAAAGGAGGAAACCATGAAAATGAACAAAATCTGGCTACCAGTATTAAAAAACTCTCATGGTATTCCCTGTAGTAACCTACGGATGTGAGAGCTGGACCTTAGGGAAGGCTGAGCGAAGGAAGAGCGATGCTTTTGAGCTGTGGTGTTGGAGGAAAGTTCTGAGAGTGCCTTGGACTGCGAGAAGATCCAACCAGTCCATCCTCCAGGAAATAAAGCCCGACTGCTCACTGGAGGGAAGGATACTAGAGACAAAGTTGAAGTACCTTGGCCACATCATGAGGAGACAGCAAAGCCTAGAGAAGACAATTATGCTGGGGAAAGTGGAAGGCAAAAGGAAGAGGGGCCGACCAAGGGCAAGATGGATGGATGGCATCCTTGAAGTGACTGGACTGACCTTGAAGGAGCTGGGGGTGGTGACGGCCAACAGGGAGCTCTGGCGTGGGCTGGTCCATGAGGTCACGAAGAGTCAGAGACGACTGAACGAATGAACAACAACAATTAAAAAACTCTAAAATTGCAACAGCACAACAACAGAGAGGAAGCAGGCAGGGACATCTAATTACCTCTCAACAAAAGTTTGCTCCAGGCACAGTCAGCCCATTGTATGGTGTGAAGGTTGAAATGTAGGTGTGAAGGTTGAAACCTTCACACCTAGCTCCAGCAGAAAAGAGTCCTTTGTCTCACCGGGTCATTTCACAGATATATAAACCCTTTTCCCTAGTTCCAACAGACCTCACTACCTCTGAGGATGCTTGCCATAGATGCAGGCGAAACGTCAGGAGAGAATGCCTCTAGACAATGGCCATACAGCCCGAAAAAACCTACAACAACCTAGTGATTCCGGCCATGAAAGCCTTCGACAATACATTAAAATAGAATTCAATTGCAATGGGAATAATGAAGGCAAGTAATATAAAACTGACTAAGAATCTCAGCAAGAGGGATCATGTATCTTTCAGCAATACAAAGACAGAGCAAAAAGTTTTTTAAAATAACTAAAACACATCAAATTAGATATAAAACTAGAAAAATAGCTTCTTTACTAATGTGAATCTGATATGTTCCAATCATCCGCCAGGGGGCAGTCCATGACCTTAGTTCAAAACTCAGTCAAGAGGACAGTAGGAGGCCACCAGGAGAGTGTCCTGTTGATATCCCCTTTCAGCAGACCTGTTTTATGGACCTTAACTGTGAAATATGACACCTCCTTCTGATTACTACCAACCGGACACCTTGGATCAAAAAGCATACATATCTGAAGCTTAACAAGCCACTGCTAAGAGTATAAAACTCTTATGAGTCATTGCTTTCATCTCTGATAGATAGCTCATATACAATGCCTTTTGTTTGGCTGCATAAAACACAGATGAAAACAGCAGGTGATGGCTAGGTAGGTGTGGACAATGCTAGAATATGCTGTATAGTAATGCTATTACTTTTTAACAATTATCAAATTTCCCTCCATAGCTATATGCATATTTAGGTAGGGATACATGTCACATGGGTGGGATCTGCATTGCAGAATTATAGCAGCATGACAACATATACATTGCCATGGAATTCTTGGATGTGTAGTTTTGTGAGATATTTATTTCTTCAGTCAGAGTACTCAGGGGTCCCAACAAACTACAGATCCCAGGATTCCACAGAATTTTTATTTATTTATTTCTGTATCAAAATTATTATAAAACTGATTAAAAAAAATATAAGGACTAAATATCCTTTGACCAAAAACGGGCAATGGCATTGTCTGTAGCCTCCAACAACTCTTCCTCTATACATGAGGCAGGGCACAGTGGACAAGCATACAGATGTGGAGTTGTCTGTTCTGCTCCATAGTCACACAAGGTGTGGGGTTCTTTTAGGTAGTGCCATTTTGCCAGGTTGTTCAATGTATTGTCGAAGGCTTTCATGGCTGGAGTCACTAGGTTCTTGTGGGTTTTTTCGGGCTATAGGGCCATGTTCTAGAGGCATTTCTCCTGATATTTCGCCTGCATCTATGGCAAGCATCCTCAGAGGTAGTGAGGTCTGTTTCTATGCAGGTAGTGAGGTCCCTGAATTCGAGCCTGTGACCTTTCGGTCAGCAAGTTCAGCAGCTCAGCACTTTAACCTACTGCGTCACTGGGGGCTCCTTAATCTGACTGCTGTTTATTCTCTGCAGCCTCTCTAAACCAACATAGTTTTCTAACTATCAGCGCTGCCTCCGGAAAATCCTGCAAATCTCTTGGGAAGACAAGCGGACAAACGTCAGCGTGCTGGAAGAAGCAAAGACCACCAGCATTGAAGCGATGGTCCTCTGTCATCAACTCCGCTGGGCCGGCCACGTTGTCCGGATGCCTGACCACCATCTCCCAAAGCAGTTGCTCTACTCTGAACTTAAGAACAGAAAACGGAATGTTGGTGGACAGGAAAAGAGATTTAAAGATGGGCTCAAAGCCAACCTTTAAAACTCTGGCATAGACACTGAGAACTGGGAAGCCCTGGCCCTTGAGCGCTCCAGCTGGAGGTCAGCTGTGACCAGCAGTGCTGCAGAATTCGAGGAGGCACGAGTGGAGGGTGAAAGAGAGAAACGTGCCAGGAGGAAGGCGCGTCAAGCCAACCCCGACCGGGACCGCCTTCCATCTGGAAACCAATGCCTTCACTGTGGGAGAAGATGCGGGTCAAGAATAGGGCTCCACAGCCACCTACGAATCCACAAGGAAACGCATAATGGAAGACCATCTTACTCGTCCAACAAGGGATCACCTAAGTAAGTAAGTAAGTAAGTAGTTTTCTAACAAGATGGAAAACTCATCTGGAACTTTGGAAGGAAAAAGCAGGTGGAACTAGCGAGGTAGAAGGAAAGCCATTACTTGTTACATTTTTTGTAATGGGGCAACACTGCTACTTGTATGCTATTAAGGCAATTTTAGGATATTATTCTGTTTCATGATCTCCCCCTAAGAAATAATGGTTAGTTGATTCTTCAAAACATTTGTATTTGAAAAGTCTTTCTAAGGGATTTTCGAAGTGATTTTTTTCTTAAAAAAAATAGAAGTAGCACATTTGTAGCACAAGATTTGCAAGGGACATTGTGCATTACTGTCAAATAATGAACAACAGATTTTTTTTTGTCGTGTCAGGAGTGACTCCTGGTGTGAGAGAATTGGCCGTCTGCAAGGACGTTGCCCAGGGGATGCCTGGATGATTTGATGTTTTTATCATCCTTGTGGGAGGCTTCTCTCATGTCCCCGCATAAGGAGCTGGAGCTGATAGAGGGAGCTCATCTGCCTCTCCCCGAATTTGAACCTGCGACCTGTCGGTCTTCAGTCCTGCCGGCACAGGGGTTTAACCCACTGCGCCACCAGTGGCTCCATGAACAACAGATGATGAGGGGTAACCACCAAGTTGGAGACGGATTAAGCATCCTCCTTACTACTCTGTCTTTGCTCTTTGGCTCCACCGTTTGAGCTGTACCTTTAAATTTGCTAAAATTAGGATATGGCAAGGGTTAGTTTATATAAGTGTAACTCTGGCCTGAAAAAGGTGTGAACTGAAGAAACATACACAATTCAAGGAAGCAGGCAGTCCCTGAAGGCAGTGGAGTAATTTTCTTGCCATCTACTTTATATTTCTTTACCGCTCATCTGCAATTTTAGTTTCCACTTCATTTAATTAAACCAAAGAAGTGTGTGTGTAAATCATCCAAAGTAAAATAGGATATTTAAGTTATACACCGGACACTCACCATTCTAGTAATAAAACACAAAACCAAATAGATGTAGACTATGCTCAAAGGCAGTAACTTAGATTTTACTCCCCGTTTGAATAAGACTCTGAAACTTTTCCATTATAATAAACAAAACCTATTACTGGATATGATGGGCAAACATTGGAAAACGGTTTCTGCACTATATTAAAAAGGTCAAAATGTGATGTAACTACCTGGCCTAGGAATATCATAACTAGAACAGATGACAAAAAAATGAAGCTAATACTCATTCAGAAGCATTTTGATACTTTTAACAAGTATCCATATAGCAGTGAATTCTATGAATATTATGAACTTAGATGAAGGTTTAGAGCAGTGTTTCTCAACCTGGGGGTCGGGACCCCTGAAGGGGTTGCGAGGGAGTGTCAGAGGGGTCACCAAAGACCACCAGAAAACACAGTATTTTCTGTTGGTCATGGAGGTTCTGTGTGGGAAGTTTGGCCCAATTCAATCGTTGGTAGGGTTCATAATGCTCTCTGAATGTAGGCGAACTATAAATCCCAGCAACTAAAACTCCCAAATATCAAGGTTTATTTTCTCCAAACACCACCAATGTTTACATTTGAGCATATTGAGAATCCGTGCCAAGTTTGGTCCAGATCCATCATTGTTTGAGTCCACAGTGCTCTCTGGATGTAAATGAACTACAACTCCCAAAACTCAAGGTCAATGCCCATCAAACCCTTCCAGTATTTTCTGTTGGTCATGGGAGTTCTGTGTGCCAAGTTTGGTTCACATTGTTGGTGGAGTTCAGAATGCTCTTTGATTGTAGGTGAACTATAAATCCCAGTAACTACAACTCCCAAATGACAAAATCAATCCCCCCAATCCCACTAGTATTCAAATTTGAGTGTATTGGTTATTTGTGTCAAATTTGGTCCAGTGAATGAAAATACATCCTGCATATCAGATATTTACATTATAATAATAATAATAATAACAACAACAACTTTATTTATATCCCGCCTCCATCTCCCCAAGGGGATTCGGGGCAGCTTACATAAGGCCATGCCCATCAATACCATAAACATAATATAAACACACACAAAAAAAAACAGAAAATCAAAAAATAAATTACATAAAATGCAAAACCATATTTACATTACTATTCATAACAGCAGCAAAATGACAGTTATGAAGTAGCAACAAAACTAATTTTATGGTTGGGGTCACCACAACATGAGGAAGCATATTAAGGGGTCATGGCATTAGGAAGCTTGAGAACCACTGGTTTAGAGGGTATGCTGATCAAGTTTGCAGATGACACCAAATTAGGAGGGATAGCTAATACTCCAGAGGACAGGATCAGAATTCAAAATGACCTTAACAGATTAGAGAGCTGGGTCAAAACTAACAAAATGAATTTCAACAGGGACAAATGTAAAATACTACACTTTAAGCAGAAAATATTAAGTGCAAAGATACAGGATGGGTGACACCTAGCTCGACAACGCTCCATGTGAAAAAGATCTTGGAGTCTTCATGGACAAGTTGAACATGAGCCAACAGTCCGATGCAGCAGCTAATGGGATTTTGGGCTGCATCAAAAGGAGTCTAGTTCTAGATCAGTGGTTCTCCAGAACTCCTAGACCAGTGGTTCTCAACCTGTGGGTCCCCAGATGTTTTTGCCTTCAAGTCTCAGAAATACTAACAGCTGGTAAACTGGCTGGGATTTCTGGGAGTTATAGGCCAAACTCCTGGGGACCTAGAGGTTGAGATTGAGGGAAGTCATGGTGCCTTTATATTTGGCTATATTTAGACTTCACCTGGAATACTGTGTCCAGTTCTGGGCACCACAGGTTAAAAGAGATATTGACAAGCTGCAAGGCATCCAGATGAGAGTGACTAAAATGATCAAAGATCTGGAGACCATGCCCTATGAGGAACGTCTTAAAGACTGGGTATGTTTAGCTTGAAAAAGAGAAGGCTGAGAGGAGACATGATGACCATGTATAAATATGTGAGGAGAAATCATAGGGAGGAGGGAGCAAGCTTGTTTTCTGCTGCCCTGGAGACTAAGACGTGGAACAATGGCTTCAAACTACAAAAAAGGAGATTCAACCTGAACATTAGGAAGAACTTCCTGACTGTAAGAACTGTTCAGGAGCAGAACACTCTGCCTCAGAGTGTGGTGGAAGCTCCTTCCTTGAAAACTTTTAAACAGAGGCTGGATGGCCATCTGTCAGGGGTACTTTGATTGTGTTTGCAGATGACCAAGGCAGTTTTAAACAGGGTATTTTAATACTGAGATAAATATTTTTTAATGTTTATGTATGCATATAATTAATTCTTGTCCTAGCATTGAATGTTTGCCGTATATTTGCTGTGCTCTGTCCTGAGTCCTCTTTGAGGTCAGAAGGGCAAAATATAAAAAAGATTCACACCTAGCCCAACTTACAAAAGCCTTTTGTCTCACCCTGGACATTCCACAGATATATAAACCCCTTTTTCCCATCTCCAGCAGACCTCTGAGGAAGCTTGCCATAGATGCAGGCGAAACGTCAGGAGAAATGCCTCTAGAACATGGCCATATAGCCCGAAAAAAACCCACAAGAACTGAGTGATTCCGGCCATGAAAGCCTTCGACAATACAAAATATAAATGTTTTAAATAAATAAATACATAAATATTTTTTCCTGCATGGCAGGGGGTTGGGCGAGATGACCCACGTGGCCTCTTTCAGCTCTGCTATACTATGATTATATGAGTCTATGAATACCATTTACATTTTTAAAAAATCACAGAAGGGTTTTCCATTGATCCCTCAATAAGAATGCCCCATTAAAAAAAGAATGTGTGTCCATGAGTGTTAAGAGTTACCCCTCTATTCCGTTTTGGTTAGACCACACCTGGAATATTGTGTCCAATTCTGGGCACCACAATTCAAGAGAGATATTGACAAGTTGGAATGTGTCCAGAGGAGGGCGACTAAAATGATCAAGGGTCTGGAGAACAAGCCCAGTGAGGAGCGGCTTAAAGAGCTGGGCATGTTTAGCCTGAAGAAGAGAAGGCTGAGAGGAGACATGATAGCCATGTATAAATATGTGAGAGGAAGCAACGGGGAGGAGGGAGCAAGCTTGTTTTCTGCATCCCTGGAGACTAGGACGTGGAACAATGGCTTCAAACTACAAGAAAGGAGATTCCATCTGAACATGAGGAAGAACTTCCTGACTTTGACAGCCGTTCAGCAGTGGAACTCTCTGCCCCGGAGTGTGGTGGAGGTTCTTTCTTTGGAAGCTTTCAAACAGAGGCTGGATGGCCATCTGTCAGGGGTGACTTGAATGCAATATTCCTGCTTCTTGGCAGGGGGTTGGACTGGATGGCCCATGAGGTCTCTTCCAACTCTTTGATTCTATGATTCTATGAAAATAGATACAGGAGCAACTTGTGACCTACAGGCTGTAGTTTCTCCATCCACACAGTAGAAAGATAGAAAGCAATCACAGCTATCAGGATAGATTCTCAAACCAAAGCATTAAGGCCAAGGTCTGTAACTCTGAAATCACAAATATGTGGAATGGGCAATGTGCTACCTATATCTCTCTGAAACCTCACAAATATTACTGGAAGAGCTGTGCCAAAAATTCTTCTCCCCAATATTGATTGCTCAGTGCAGATCCAACATTTTGCAGACCCACAACACACTATAGATTGCACAGTTCACTAGAGCATTAACATAGACGTAGTGTAAAACAACCCCATGGTGGATTCATGCTTCAGTTTCAGATTGAAGACCATTATATAGCCATTTGTTGCTCGATATTATTAAGTTATGAACAGTCAGTTTTGGAACTGAAATTTTGGATTCAGCTCCTGCATCATTGAAACTATATGGACCGGTGCAGTTTCTCTGTCTTTTTTGGATACTGGCCCAAGTTGTAATTCTGTCCTCTTTTACAAGAAAGATGCAGCAATATATTTAAAATTTATAGGTTCAATATATATTTTAATTGAATCGATAACATATGGGCATGGAATCATTTTAGCCCTTCCACAGAGCAGGAGAAAAGAAAGAAGATGCCAAACTTCAATTTTTGACTTTTGAACACATCTGATGTGTCAAGCTCAGAAGACATTGTGAAGGAAGCCCAGTCCCCAGCTCACAAGATACAGAAGGGCAAGAAATCATTGCCCAGTTTGAGAAGTCCAAGGAATGGCTTTACTAAGAGTCAAATTCCAATAGGCTCATAAACATGTGCGTATTGTGGAGCTGGGACATGCTGCGTCTGCTTGTGGTTAATCCCATCACAACCCAGATGTATATAACATTAAGTAGGCCACAGATCTGTCTTTGGCCAAGATTTTTATGACAATATAACAATTGTTCAGAGTAACGTCTCCTATATAAAATTGACACAGAAATCGGGGACATTAGATCGGCCCCCTCCCTCTTAACATTTTGGAAAAGAGTCAAGACTTGGTTGTTTGAGCAAGCGTCTGAAAATGCAAGGTAAAATACATAGGAACTGGAACGACTGGATGGTGTGATTGGACAATGTTTTTATTAGGAGACAAAAATGATCTATGTTTGAATACTCTTGTTATGGTTTTATATTATGCGTTAATGTTTTTAAATGTTTTATGGTGTTTTTGGGCATCGAATCGTTGCCACTGTAAACCACCCTGAGTCACCTGAGGGCTGCGAAGGGCAGTATACAAATACAGTAAATCTATATCTATATAAATAAAAATGTAATGTTCGTTTGTGGGATCAACAGAACTCAAAAACCACTGGACGAATTGACACCAAATTTGGACCCAAGACACCTAACAACCCAATGTATGTCCTTCACTCAAAAAATTGATTTTGTCATTTGGGAGTTGTAGTTGCTGGAATTTATAGTTCACCTACAATCAAAGAGCATTCTGAACTCCACCAACGATGCAATTTAACCAAACTTAGCACACAGTTCTCCCATGACCAACAGAAAATACTGGAAGGGCTTGGTGGACAGTGTCCTTTGGTATTGGAGTTGTAGTTCACCTACATCCAGAGATCACTTTGGACTCAAACAATGATGGATCTGGACCAAACTCTACACAAATACTCAATATGCCCAAATGTGAACACTGGTGTAGTTTGGGGGAAATAGAATCTTGACATTTGGGAGTTGTAGTTGCTGGGATTTATAGTTCACCTACAATCACAGAGCATTCTGAACCCCACCAACGATAGAATTGGGCCAAACCTCCCACACAGAACCCCCATGTGGGCCACAGCAACGCGTGGCAGGGGAATTCTAGTCTATATATATAAATGCTCTGTGCATAATGAGTACTTTAAAAACAAAAGAACCAATGAATGAAATCACACCAAATTTGGCAACAAAACGTCTCACAACACAAGGAGTGACCATCACTCAAAAAATTATGATTTTGTCATTTGGGAGTTGTAGTTGCTGGTACTTATAGGTCACCCACAATCAAAGAGCATTCTGAACTCTAACAACTATGGAATTGAACCAAACTTGGCACACAGAACTCCCATGACCAACAGAAAATACTGGAAGGGTTGGGTGGGCATTGACCTTGAGTTTGGGAGTTGTAGTTCACCTACATCCAGAGAGCACTGTGGACTCAAACAATGATGGATCTGGACCAAACTTGGCACAAGCACTCAATACGCCTAAATATGAACACAGATGGAGTTTGGGGAAATAGACCTTGACATTTGGGAGTTGTAGTCACTGGGATTCACAGTTCACCTACAATCAAAGAGCATTCTGAACCCCACGAACGACAGAATTGGGGCAAACTTCCCACACTGAACCCCCATGACCAACAGAAAATACTTAAGACCATCCAATCCAACTCCCTTCATCAGGGCAAGAAAACATAATAAAAGTCCTCCTGACAAAGAGCCATCCAGCTATAGATATAGATATAGATAGATAGATAGATAGATAGGTAGGTAGGTAGATAGGTAGGTAGATAGGGAGTTGTAGTTGCTGGGATTTATAGTTCACCTACAATCAAATAGCATGATAGAATTGAACCAACCGGGTCATACAGGACTCCCATGACCAACATAAAACACTAGAAGGGTTTGGGGGGCATTGACCTTGAGTTTGGGAGTTGTAGTTCACCTACATCTAGAGAGCACTGTGGACTGATGGATCTGGACCAAACTTGGCATGAATACTCAATATGCCCAAATATGAACACAGATGGAGTTTGGGGAAAATAGACCTTGACATTTGGGAGTTGTAGTTACTGGGATTTATAGTTCACCTACAATCAAAGAGCGTTCTGAACAACCACCAACGACAGAATTGGGCCAAACTTCCCCCAGAGAATCCCCATGACCAACAGAAAATACTCAAGACTATCTAGTCCAATTCCCTTCACCAGGCCAAGAAAACGTAATCAAAGCCCTCCTGACGAAGAGCCATCCAGCCATAGATATAGATAGATGATTCACACACACTCACACAGATATAGTATCATAGATTTGAAAGGGACCCCTGAAGAAGGACAATTATATGTTGCCTGTTCCAGAGTAGGCTAACCAGACAATCTCCACATCAACACTGACAAAGAAACAGCAAGAAATACTGTTTACCCACAAGCACAAAGAAATTACATATATTAGAAACCAACACTTTCTCATTACTTTATTTTTCAGATCAACAGACTGGGCCACAGCAATGTGGACACAGCTAGTAATAAATAAATGCATAAATAAAGAAATACATAAATAATATTTGCATCCCTACCTTCATACTACGTTCTCCCTTTTCACCCTGTACAACGAAAAATGCAGAAAGGAGAGAAGACAGAAATAAGAACTTAGGAAGGTTTAGAGACAAGCTGTCAATGCCAAAAGGATGAAGAGTGAAAAAGGTTTATTCTTGTTAGATATGTACATTGGGTCAGAGCCTCTAATGAAAAAATAGGTTGAAGATGGTATAAAAAGCATTCCTTATGCATAGTGTCCACGATATTTTGTTCCTCCATTTTGTTCTTTGCTAGACTTGTTTGAGATTTTCCAAGCATTGCAAAACACCATCAAAGATGTCTGATGAGAAACAAAAGCACAAAGTGTAATTTGTGCCTTGGCATCTGTCTTCAGTGCTAGCTTCCAACCTTGGAACGTATCAGAAAAGAACAGAGGTCTACCACAAGTGATGACAAAGGATATTCCCCTCCCTTCTGGATGACAGCCTCTACTAAACTAGAAATGGAAGGAAGGTATTCTAGATCAGAGATGGGGTAGTTTTACTACTATACATCCGTACATTAAGTGCTGCAGTAGAGAGATGGGAAGGTGGGGTTAGAAGAAGAGAAGAGTATTCCTAGAATCTATCACAATACCAATCCTTATCATATTCTCTTCAAGTCAGTTTAGGTAAAGAAAAATATTTGTCTTTAACATTATATGTTAGGCAATCTGCAACCAAAGACCCACATAACCCAGGAGTCCTAGAATTCTAATTATGAAGAGAAAGAAAATATAGCTTTTTTCTTTTTATTTGACAAATTCAAAGGACTGCAAATTACAAATTTGTTAAAATATTAAGAGAAAAGTCGCTAATAGTTAACAGAAAAAAGATTTTCCACCTTATTCTTATATAGCGTGATAACATTTTAATGGCCATAACCTGTCTCCAAGAACTGGGAGTCAGCTGCATTAAGATCACTACTGACCGAAAGGTCATGAGTTCAAAGCCAGTCCGGGTCGGAGTGAGCTTCTGACCAATTTTGTGTAGCCTGCTGTTGACCTTTGCAGCCCGAAAGAAAGTTGCATCTGTCAAGAAGGAAATTTAGGTACCACTTATGTGGGGCGGCAAATTTAACTAATTTACAAGGCCATAGAAATCTCCAGTAAGCATGCAAAGAATGAGGAAGTACTTCATCAGTGTCACAAATGGTCGGTGAAGGGACAGCTCCCCTGGTGGCCAGAATACCCTCAAGAATAGCTGGAATGTTAAATTGCCTCTGTGTTTGTCTATATATGTTGTTTGTCTATGGCAGGGGTTCTCAAACTTTTTAAATGGAGGGCCAGGTCACAGTCCTGCAAAACTGTTGGAGGGCCGGATTATAATTTGGAAAAAGGCATGAATGAATTCTTATGCCCACTACACATATCTTATTTGTAGTGCAAAAAACACTTACAAACAATACAATGAAGAACAATTTAAAAATATATAAACTTATTAGCATTTCAGTGGGAAGTGGAGGCCTGCTTTTGGCTGATGAGATAGGATTGTTGTTGTTGTTGTTTGCTTTCAAGTCTTTCAGACTTAGGCTGACCCTGAGTGAGGGCCGGGTAAAGGACCTTGGAGGGCCGTATTCGGCCCTCGGGCCTTAGTTTGAGGACCCCTGGTCTATGGCATTGAATGTTTCCATGTATATGTACATTGTAATCTGCCCTGAGTCCCCTGCGGGGTGAGAAGGGTGGAATATAATTACTGCAAATAAATAAATAAATAAATAAATAAATAA